AAGACCGTGATGCTTTCCAATATGGCTGTGTTCATGTCACCATCACTCCCTATGGCTTCCCTAGACTGTCCCCAAGAAGTGTACAGTGGTAACACCCAGGAACCCCTTGAAGAGGGAAGTCATTCATTCAGGTTGGGGATGCAATTTCTAGAGTTGCCACAGCTTCTGGTGGTATGTGGCAATTTTTCCCTGGCTATTAAAGAGAGTATGTAAAAATACTTTTTTGGAGATGGAGAGCACATGAGCTATCATTTTAAAACACCTACTCTATATTAATCAGGGTCCAGTCCGGAGACAAGAATCATACCAGCTGTTGGAATAGGGAAAATTTAATACAAAGAATGATTAACTAGTGAAGGGTAGTTAACTACTGAAAGGGGCAACAGAGGACTCTAAGGAATACAGGAGTAGGAAATGCAGGAAGGAGCTGCTACCTCCAAGGATAATGGAGATTCCCCAATGATGGAAGGAAGAACTTGGATGAGATTCAGACCACTTGAGAGAGAGTGTGGCTGCAGCCCACTGGATGGTGGAGAAGTTCACTGCGGCTCGAGCCAGGAGCTGAAGCACAGGAGATACCCCTGCTGGGAGCCAGAAAAACTCTCTGAGAGAGCCCCACTGGGTGAGAGAGCCTAGATGCCGCTGGCGGTCACATTGCAGGAAGAAAAAAGGCACACTGGAGCCAGGAAGGGGAGCTCTTCCTCTGTGTGCCTTGCAGTGTCCCCCTAGCGCCCTCTACTGTCTCTCTGGTAAAGGACAAGTGTTGACAAGGTCCAACTGCAGTATTACAAAGCGGGGCAAGGAAGGGTGAATTTGGAGTTGAAAGCAGCAAATTGATAAGAGGAACACCTACTCCATGGCAGGCCCTGTGCTTGCATTTCCGTCAAGAATCTAGTATAATCTCAAGCATAGTTCCTTGAAATAGATAATAGAATTCCCATTTTAATGTTAAGAGGGTACTGAAAGCTAGAAGTAACCTGAGAAGGACATGCAGCTAACATACGTGGCTGGGCTGGTGTTTTGACTGCTGTGTGTGTGATTCTAGAGTCCAGTCTCCTACCGCAAGCTAACAGTGCCTCTCTCCGTAAAGGGTGAAGGGCAGTGAGACCCTGCTCTCCCCCCTTCACCCCTCCTCCCCCATGAACTCACATAAACGTGCCCAGCATTGCTTCTCGGGCTCTTCTCCTGAGAGACACCAACAGTGTGGCAGATGCCCTGGGGGTCCTCTAAGGCAGTGATTCCCAAACCAGAATCACTGGAAGAGCTTGGTGAAAATAGGGGCTCCTGGGCTTTCTCTGTAGGTACCAATTTAATAGATTGGCAGGGGGAGCTGAAATCTGCATTTAACAAACTCCCCAGAAATCCCGATGCTCCAAGAAAGGAGCATCAACCTCTCCGCTGGGCTGGAAGTGGCAAGTGAGAAGCTGCCTGGCCTTCGCTGGGGGGAAGGGGACTTCACGCTAACAAGCTCCTCTCAGCCCCAGCGCCCTGCGGAAAGGTCAGTATTGATACCTGGCTTCTGAAATGAAAATCAAATAGGACACACGGATCTGCTTCATGGGTGATGACGTTGTAATGGCTCTTACAGAGGCTGAATTGATTCCTGTCTGTCAGCTGGAAAAGTGGAAGATGGGCTCCAGGACTCCTGGCCCCCTGGCCTGGCAGTCCTTTAGGCATATTTTCTGGACAGGAGGTATTTCTGAGCTAGAGCTTGCCAGGCAATTCCATCTGGCACAGGAATAAGAGCCACCAGCTTTTGAGCACCTTCCATGTGCCAGGAACCATGCTCCAATCCTTAAACCCGCCTGCAAGGGTTAATACCACAACTAGGAGACAGGAAACTGGGGGTCTGCCCAAGGCCACACAGATACAGGGGCGGAGCTGAAATTCAGGCACGTGTGGGTCTTACTCCAAAGCTTACTCCATGGCCTTGGGAGGGGGACCAGCTCCTGGTTCAGACCCCCTGCTGGGGGAGAGCCAGGCTCCAGGAGGCCTGGGGGCCACGTGCTCACGGTCAAGTAGTTAACATCTTCCCTTTGGTGGGGGTTTTAACATCTATAAACCAACTCAGGAAGCGTATATCAGATGCTATTATCTAGGTCCTTCAGAGAGGAGCTAAAGCAGTGGATATAGGCGAGGAGTCTGTCCTGGTGAGGGGTCTGTCCCAGAAAGGCCTCACAGGGTCAGTGACATAAACCCATAGAACTCTAACACCAAGAATGAACCCTAACATAAACTGTGGACTCTGGGTGATAACGACATGTCAGTGTAGGTTCATTTGATCGTAGCATATGTACCACTCTGGTGGGGGGTATGCCTCCCACCAGGGGGCAGGGGTTAGGAGTGGGTGGGCATGGGGTATATGGGAACTCCCTGTACTTTCCCCTCAGTCTTTCTCTGGACCTAGAATTGCTCTACAAACTAGTCTATTTAAAAGAGAAAAAAACCTACTGCCTCTTTATTTATTTATTTGGCTGCACCGGGTCTTCGTTGCAGCATGCGGGATGTTTAGTTGCGGCATGCGGGATCTTTAGTTGCGGCATGCGGGATCTTTAGTTGCGGCATGCGGGATGTTTAGTTGCGGCATGCGGGATCTTTAGTTGCGGCATGTGGGATCTATTTCCCTGACCAGGGATTGAACCGGGGCCCCTGCATTGGAAGCACGGAGTCTTAGCCACTGGACCACAGGGAAGTCCCCCAAATTACTGCCTCTTAATGTGGTTGTGAGATTGTTAAGTAAGTTATAAGAGGGCCTAGCCCAGGATTTGGCAGGCATCAGGGTCCCTGGCAGCTGAATGAGGGGAGGTATCACCCCGTAAGCTCAGTGTAGACCCCGGAGGACCCTGACGGGGGAAGAAGAGCAGTGCTCCTCTCTGCCACCTCGTCCCCCTCAGGGAGCCCTCTGGGGGTGTGGGGACAGGTGTAAGAATTAAGGACCAGACTGAACCAAGTGTTAATAAATCAGAAGACAGGACAGCAAGTATGGCCCAGGGCTGGATATGATAACAGGCCCAGGTCTAGGATTTGTAAGATCAGTCCCTCCCTCTCTCCCTCTCTCCACATAAACCTCATAGCGAACAGAAGGAACCAGAAGGGACTGGCTATTTGGAAAAAGCATAAATCTGGCGGGCCATTCCCCTGCTCTGAAGCCCGTACTTGCTCCCCAGTACCCTCACCTGGCACACAGGCCTTCCCTCCACTTCCTCTGCTCTACGGCCACTCTGGGTACCATTCAGTGGACTAGAAAAGAGAACAGGTGGGTGTCCAGAGACCCAAATTTTAGACCCAACTGTGTGGTAGCTGTGTGACCTTGGGAACATCTCTCCTCCTCTCTGTGCCTCAGTTTCCCCAGACTGGATTCTTTCCTTCCTCCTTTCACTGAATACACTACTGAGTGCCCGCTATGAGCATGACAATCTCTAAGGTCCTTCCTGTTGTGATATTATGTCTCATTCAGTGTAGTTCAAATGCACTGCGAGAGATATAAAACACACACAGAGTGTACAGATGAAAACGAAGGAGTCTCCTTAATCATGGTTCCCAGAGATGTGCACTTCCTTCCAGCTCTGCCTTTTGAATCCCCATTTCTGTGCCCACCTTTGTGGGAATGGAACGCTTGTTTGCAAAGTGCTTAGATAACTTCAAAGATTGCAGGGCTGTGACTTTGCCCTCAATATCTGATCCAGGATAAAAGTGGTTGCCTCCTGACCAAAGATCTTGATTCTCTTTGAGTCCCCCTCCATGGTCACACTGTCCTCCCTGTCAATCCCCCTCCCCTATGAGACGATCTAGAGCTTCTCTGGGGGGAGGCACGTGATGCTCAAAAAAGCATGAGATCGGCTCTAAACAGGGTTCCAATTCTAGCTCCAACGTTTACTTGCTGTGTGACCTTGGGGAGTTACTTAACATCTCTGAACCTTGTTGTCCTCCATCTGTTTGTGGAGGAAGTAAATTTCTACCTGAACGGGTGTTGTAAGGTTAAGCAAAATGACACAGGTAATGTTTCTGGTCACATAAATAGCAGTACCACTTTACTTAATATGAGCTATTAGGCATCTTGTCCTCACATGAGAGAATCCACGTAAAGCATTAGGACAGTCAGTGCCTTGGTAAGAACTCCACATGCTAGTTCCCTCACCCTCTTCGGTCAGTTTCATTTTCCTCCCTGTGACTGCCAGGTGGCAGCATGGAGCCATGGAACAGAGCCCTCTCATAATGTGAGTGCTGTCAGGGACCCTTGAGTGACAATAACCACAGACTGTTTATTGAGCTCTTACCATGCTGGGTGCATGAGGGCACCTCATAAACACCTTCCTTTAACCCTTGTAAGTTCATATGGGGGGAGGTTCAGTCACCTGCCTCGTGCAGGGGAGGAATGACGGGCTCAGGCAGGAGGATCCATAATGGAGCAGAAGATATCATCAAAAGCTCCCCTGCACGCAGCCCCAGCACCTGCCCGCTGCACTTGGCAGCCTGGTGGGTTGCAAGAGCCTCACCAGGTGGATGAGGACAGTGGGGCCCAAGGAGGGGAGAAGGGACCGGAAGCCAGGGCCCTGACCCCAAGCAGGTACGCTTTCGTGCAGGGCCCAGTCTCCAGGGAGGATCCCCTCGGCCAAGGCCCCCTCTGAAGTGAGGCTCCACCTGGGGCTCTCTGGGGGTGCTGGGAACCCCAGGAAAGCAAGCACACGATGTCCTCCTGTCTTATCCTGCTCATCCAACAGGACCTCTTCCGATCCCCGAGTAATCTTTGCCTCCAGGAGCCACGGTGATTTGTGGAAAACTTCCTCCAAATCCCCAGCTAATCCTCCTTTGGCTGAACCCTTCAGTGATTGCATTTGCGGCTGGTGGCCTCTAATCCCTCCGGCCCCAAGTATTCCTGGGAAAGCACATGTGCAGACCTGTGGCATGCTGAGTCCTGGTGCCCAGTGGGTCTGAGCTGGGTGCACCAGGGACCTCCAGCTTGTCCCTCAGAGTCAACCTCCTTTTCTCTCTCCTGCGAGTCTCACTGGCAGCAGGTCGGGGAGAAGCCTGGGTCTGTGCCTGGCGATGCCTGGACAGGGCAGCTGGCTGACAGCCGAGAAGCTGGGGCCGCCACCCTCTACACCGCATGATTCCCAGAGGGATGCTCTTGTTTGAAGTTAGGGCCTCAGTTGCTTCCTCTCAAAAATGGGGATAAAAATAGTCTTTAGGGATGCTTATGAGGATGTACGAAGGTAACATATTTAACGAGCCTAAGGCAGAGGCTGGAACCTAACCAGCCATCAGAGCTGGGTAGCTGTGGTTAACCTAGAGTGTCTCCCTGCCATCCCCACCCCTCGGTAACGACCTCAGCCCTCCTCTCCCTCCCACCTCTGGAGGCGCGGACCCCTGCACAGCAGCTCCTCACACGGGCTGCGTGGTGCAAGGGCAGGAGAGCCACTGTGGGCTGTGCGGGGTCTGGGGGCTGCCAGTAGGGCCACGGTTCTGGTGCTGGGGAGAGGCCGAGGACCTGCAGCTCCGAGAAGGTGTACCCAGTGCAGGAGAGATGCCCGGTGTGGCCACCATCAGGTGCGGGGGCTCAAGCTCTTGAGAGATGAAGGAGCGCAGGGCCAGGGAGGCAGGCAGGCTGGGGTGGGGCAGCCCCTCATCCCTGGCAGGGATGGACCAGCTCAGCTGGACAGACAGGGTGGTCCCAGGCGCTGCCCAGGCAGAGAGATGCTACAGGGGGCAGCTCCATGAGCCGGGATAAACGACTGGATTTTTTTTTTTTTTTTTTTTTTTTTTTTTTTTTGAGCTGCTTGTATTACGCGGACCTCTCACTGTTGCAGCCTCTACCGTTGCGGAGCACAGGCTCCGGACACACAGGCTCAGCGGCCATGGCTCACGGGCCCAGCCGCTCCATGACATATGGGATCTTCCCGGACCGGGGCACGAGCCCGTGTCCCCTGCATCGGCAGGCGGACTCTCAACCACTGTGCCACCAGGGAAGCCCAACGACTGGATCTTTGAGGCACAGTATTTTTATAACCCACAAGTCAGCAGGGGGCCCTGCCCCTAAGAAGGGTTGGCTCAAACTCGCTTGTGGAGGTCCAGCTCCCTCCTGGAGATATGAGCCCCCGTCCTGACCGCCTGCCTCTGCACTTTCCACCTCCACTCTGGGCTCACAACTGTGCCCTTATCTCCCCCCAGGTGTGGGCCTCTATATGGATTCCCGTTGCCTTTCCCTCTGTCCATGCAATACTGAATAAAAAAGTAAAAACTAAACTCCCTCACACTCTTCAGGATAGAGGGCTCCAGACTTTTCCTGGGGTCCTGCCTGTTTAACCCAAAGCACAAAAGCTCACCCTTGGCCAGAAGGGAGCTGCCTCCTGCTGGGGAGACCCCTGCCCACCTTAGTCCAGCTACTTTTGCGGTGTTAGCTTACACTGTGGCCCAGAGCCTGGAGCCGGAGCCGCCATGTGCTGGCATCCTGTGTGTTAGAACAGAGGCTGTGGCTTGTATTCCGAGGAGTGTGTCTTACTGAAGGTGTCTGAAATCTAGCTCCTCTCTCAGCCTAGAAGTCCTCACCCCTCTGTTCACTGGAGTTCCTCCAAGGAGCCTGGCATAAAAGGAGGCAAGGAATAAAATACGGGGTCTTTATTCCTACAGTTAAAATACATGGCATTCAATCAATACTTTTCTAACTTTTTTAACATAACACAAACACTTTGCTCATCATCAAACCTCATGCAGGATCCCAGTACATGTAAAATAGTGAAGACAGACAGCTTGGCTGAATCTGGAGGAGATATGAGGGCTCAATCCCACCCCTCCCCGCCACCCTTACAGGAGGACAGAAAGGGAAATTAAAATGTCTCTGTCACCAGTGTAAGGTCATCCAGCTTAACTCTTACTAAGACAGATGCAAATTAAAACTGCACTGAGAGTACAACCTATCATATCAGACAGCTGCTCCAGACCTTCTCTGAACCCTAACTTCTCTTCAGGAGCCACACCTAAGCTCTGAGACTGCTAGTCAGCCAGTACTACGCAGAAAGAAGTGATACAGTAAGCACGTCCAAAAGCTCTGATATGGTCTCATCCCAGGTACTTTGCACATAGGCAACACTGGTACATCACAAAGAACTCATTCCACTGGAAGGCAGATGATGTCATTGATTTTGTCTCCAGAAAGAGGGCAGACAGCAGAGGCAAGAAGAACTACAGTTCTGCAGCCTGTGGAAGGAAAACCACACTCACAGAAAGACAGACAAAATGAAAAGGCAGAGGACTATGTACCAGTTGAAGGAACAAGACCAAACCCCATAAAAACAACTAAATAAAGTGGAGATAGGCAACATTCCATAAAAAGAATTCAGAATAATGATAGTGAAGGTGATCCAGGACCTTGGAAGAAGAATGGAGGCAAAGATTGAGAAGATGCAAGAAATGTTTAACAAAGACCTAGAAGAATGAAAGAACAAGCAGATATGAACAATTCAATAACTGAAATGAAAAATACACTAGAAGGAATCGATAGCAGAATAACTGAGGCAGAAGAATGGATAAGTGACCTGGAAGACAGAATGGTGGAATTCACTGCCACAGAACAGAATAAAGAAAAAAGAATGAAAAGAAATTAAGACAGCCTAAGAGACCTCTAGGACAACATTAAACATAACCACATTCACACTAGAGGGGTCCCAGAGGGAGAAGAAAGAGAGAAAGGGCCTGAGAAAATATTTGAAGAGATTATAGTTGAAAACTTCCCTAATGTGGGGAACGAAATAGCCACCCAAGTCCAGGAAGCACAGAGAGTCCCAGGCAGGATAAACCCAAGGAGAAACATGCCAAGACACGTAGTAATCAAATTGACAAAAATTAAAGACAAAGAACAATAATTGAAAGCAACAAGGAAAAAATGACAAATAACATACAAGGGAATTCCCATAAGGTTAACAGCTGATTTCTCAACGGAAACTCTGCAAGCCAGAAGGCAGTAGCACAATATATTTAAAGTGATGAAAGGGAAGAACCTACAACCAAGGTTACTCTACCGGCAAGGATCTCATTCAGATTCGATGGAGAAATCAAAAGCTTTACAGACAAGCAAAAGCTAAGAGAGTCCAGCACCACCAAACCAGCTCTACAACAAATGCTAAAGGAACTTCTCTGAGTGGGAAACACAAGAGAAGAAAAGGACCTACAAAAACAAACCCATAACAATTAAGAAAATGGTAATAGGAACATACATATCGATAATTACCTTAAAAGTGAATGGATTAAATGCTCCAACCAAAAGATACAGGCTCGCTGAATGGATACAAAAACAAGACCCATATATATGCTGTCTACAAGAGACCCACTTCAGACTTAGGGACACAAACAGACAGAAAGTAAGGGGATGGAAAAAGATACTCCATGCAAATGGAAATCAAAAGAAAGCTGGAGTAGCAATACTCGTGTCAGACAAAATAGACTTTAAAATAAAGAATATTATAAGAGACAAAGAAGGACACTACATAATGATCAAGGGATCAATCCAAGAAGACGATATAGCAATTATAAATATATATGCACCCAACATAGGAGCACCTCAAAACATAAGGCAACTGCTAACAGCTATAAAGGAGGAAATCGACAGTAACACAATAATAGTGGGGGACTTTAACACCTCACTTATACCAATGGACAGATCATCCAGACAGAAAATTAATAAGGAAACACAAGCTTTAAATGACACAATAGACCAGTTAGATTTAATTGATATTTATAGGACATTCCATCCAAAAATAGCATATCACACTTTCTTCTCAAGTGCACATGGGACATTCTCCAGGATAGATCACACCTTGGGTCACAAATCAAGCCTTGGCAAATTTAGGAAAATTGAACTCATATCAAGCATCTTTTCTGACTACAATGCTATGAGATTAGAAATCAATTACAAGGAAAAAGCCGTTAAAAACACAAACACATGGAGGCTAAACAATACATTACTAAATAACCAAAGGATCACTGAAGAAATCAAAAGGGAAATCAAAAAATACCTAGAGACAAATGACAATGAAAACACAATGATCCGAAACCTATGGGATGCAGCAAAAGCAGTTCTAAGGGGGAAGTTTATAGCAATGCAATCCTATCTCAAGAAACAAGAAAAATCTCAACTAAATGATCTGTCCTTACACCTAAAGGAACTGGAGAAAGAAGAACAAATAAAGTCCAAAGTTAGTAGAAGGAAAGAAATAATAAAGAGCAGAACAGAAATAAATGAAATACAAACAAAGAAAACAATAGCAAAGATCAATAAAACTAAAAGCTGGTTCTTTGAGATGATAGCATTGATAAACCTTGGGCCAGACTCATCAAGAAAAAGAGGGAGAGGACTCAAATCAATGAAATTAGAAACGAAGAAGGAGAAGTTACAATGGACACGGCAGAAATACAAAGCATCCTAAGAGACTACTACAAGCAACTCTGTGCCAATAAAATGGACAACCTGGAAGAAACGGACAAATTCTTAGAAAGGTATAAACTTCCAAGACTGAACCAGGAAGAAACAGAAAATATGAACAGACCAATCACAAGTAATGAAATTGAAACTGTGATTAAAAATCTTCCAACAAACAAAAGCCCAGGACCAGATGGCTTCACAGGCGAATTCTATCAAACATTTAGAGAAGAGCTAACACCTATCCTTCTCAAACTCTTCCAAAATATAGCAGAGGGAGGAACACTCCCAAACTCATTCTACGAGGCCACCATCACCTTGATACCAAAACCAGACAAGGATGTCACAAAGAAAAAGAGGGAAGAGATATGGCAACATATGTATATGTATAACTGACTCACTCTGTTATAAAGCAGAAACTAACACACCATTGTAAAGCAATTATACCCCAATAAAGATGTTAAAAAAAAAAAACAAAAACCTTCCAACAAACAAAAGTCCAGGACCAGATGAATTCTATCACAGCTGAATTCTATCAAACATTTAGAGAAGAGCTAACGCCCATCCTTCTCCAACTCTTCCACAAATCTGCAGAGGAAGGAACACTCCCAAACTCATTCTACGAGGCCACCATCACCCTGTTACCAAAACCAGACAAAGATACTACAAAAAAAGAAAATTACAGACCAATATCACTGA